TTAGATGGTTTCATTCTTGAAGCCTTCCATGGGCACCAGCAACAGATAGCTTCAGTAGAGTCTCAAGCTCAGGCAGATCCATAATGGTCAAGCACTTGTCAAACCACAGTTGTGTTCTTAGGAACAGTCCATCTCTTCTTTCAAAACATTACACAGCAACTTCATGCAATGGCTGGTCTTCAGCTCATTCTTCATTTTTATATTATAGCTTGGTAAGAGACTATGTTTTTTGTGCTTCCTCTAGAGAGTACCAATCATCCTATACTTCCTGTGTTGGAAATGACTCAGCCTTGTTCTGTTAATTCAGTACATTAATTAACTCATAATAAAGAACTAAATCAACAGCTGGGGGAAAACAGTCTAGTTTCCAGGCTTCCAACCCACACAAACTGGACATATGGCTTGTTGCCCATTTCTCTGCTTGTGCCAAGCATATATTGTGAAAAGAAAATATCTCTCAATCTTTCTCCTGTAGATCTTCAATTTATTCAGTGTTATGCAGAAGGTTTCTGCTTTATCTACTTCATCTGCTTGTACAATCTCTCCACAATTATTTTCTATTCATACTTTTTTTCACAATGAAACAGCGAGGTAGTCTAGTCATACAGTCTAACCAATTATACAGCAACTTAACCAATCTTAACCTACCAGCTAATTTCTTTAGAACATCATAGTTTCCCTATCCTTTTCCTTCCATGGCCCCATGTATTTTAATCAACTTCATCTAATCCAGCCTTCTCCACGCAAGAACCCTCCAGATGTTTCAGACCACAGCTCCAAGCTTTCCTGGACACTGGCCATACTGACTGGAGCTTATGGAACTGGAATCCAAAACAGCTAGAAGACACTAGTTGCAGAAGGCTAATCTAGCTTGACCTCTGCCCCAGATGCTGATCTTTGACCCCCAGGCAAATCCACAGGTGAGCCCTTCACAATCTAGACCAGAATGCCCTGGTTTCAATGAATGCAACATCGTTGACAAGCCACAGTGGCTTGCTAATCAGATGACCAGGGGGGAAAGAAACCATGAGAATTTCTTTTTGCTGTTATGTATGATGGGCATGCAGTGCATGATTTGCCTGATTGGTCTCATGACATGTAGCTTGCCATCTAATCCAAACCTGGCAAAGCGCATGGTGGGGGTGGCTTCAAAACATCCCCAAACCATGAGTTGTAGGGTTCTGCAATCGTTTTGCAGTCACTCTTTGCCATGCACATTGCCAGGTTTGGATGACATAACATGCTCTGTTGTAAGCATAATTAGACATATCCTTCAGTGTATGCCTGGCACTCACAGGAATAACAGAAAAGAAAAAGGACTCCATGTCGTCTTCTCTCCATGTCCAAACCCAGCCACTGTGTGTGCTGGCCAGATTTGCCTAATTATGCTTGCTGGTGCAGCTGGTTGTGCCGTCTGTACCTGGGTGACATGGTTTGTTTGAGGGGGCAGCAACCTGCAAATAACCCATGAGGGGCTGTTGGGTTGTTTGAGGGTTGCTGCCCATCCCAAACAATGTGTGTTGCCCTGGCTTGCATGGCACAGCAAACTGTGCCAGGGAGATAATTACAGAACATGCAAATGGGCCATAATGCTAGACAGAGGGCAATTACACTGCAGAAAATGCTTACCAAGCAAATAACTCTGGTGTATGTGAAATGGCATAATGTCAATATTGTATTTGTGAGCAAATACCTTCGATGAAAATCAAATTAATTACAAGTGCTACCAGAGGTATAATTTGGGCACAGGTTAAATGTTTGATCTCATGCAACAAATGCAAAAGACTTCAACATACAACTGAGAGTTTTTGACCAAGCCCCAAATGTCCCTAGGAGTGTGTTTCCTCTACTAGAAGTAAACCACCTGGACTATTATGAAACAGGAAAGAATAGCCTGATCAAGTAGATTTCAAAGATCAGTCTGTCCTTCCTGGGTTAAAATGACAGGAAGGCAGTGCATTTAGAGGGAAATTCCATTCCTTAATTGAGCTCAGCAGTGGAAAAGAGCAGACTTGGGAGGTTATGCAATAATTTTCTGTGGGTGTTTTCAAGCAAAGACTCACAAAGCATCAAACAGAACTGCTTTTGTTAATGGGCATCCTGTGGAGCAGAGGGAATCTCCTCTGGCATATATTTCTAGTAAGGTATATTCTGCAGAGGAATACTATACAGAGGCCAGTGTAGTGTGAATAGTCAGAACAACTGTGGGAATACACACTGTATTTTGTCCTAGGGCGAGGTTGAGGGAAACTAGTTTTGCATGTTTTGAACAGAAGCCAAAACATCTCAGCTCTAATTGGGAAGAATCAGTGACATCACAAAACTGCTTTCCCTTCATAATACATGCAATACTTTAAATATAAAAACATGGACCACCTGACTGAAGTATGGGGATAGGGGAAAACAATTGCAGGAAACAGTTCTTCATTTGCTGTATAAATCTCTATCTGATGTTTGATTTCCAAATATGAGATAAGGTGTGGTTTGCCCTTGTGGAGAATATACAATGACACCTGTATTTTTTTTTTTTTTTTGTACATCTGTATGTATCCAATGCCAGTGTTTGTATTCTGGTTCAAAGAACTCGCAGGAGGTAAGATTCTGCGAAAGTTTTTTTGAGCAGAATTTCTTTCTAATATAACTATCCTCACAATGCCATGATGATGTCATGCTGCAACTGTTCCAGCTAAGCATGAAATGGTACAATCCTATAAATAGCTACCCCAAAGAAAGTTCCATTGAGATCAAGTGTTGTATAGTATATGATCTCAGCCAAAATGAAACTTTTTTTATGGACTTCTGAAAACCAATGTAAGTATTTTGTTGTTTTCTTCTTTCCTCCACACAGACTGATAAGTTTAAGGGAATCTTTGCAAGATCAGCTCCTGTTGGAAAGACAGATCACTGGGAATCTATGGTTTCTTCATGAAAATCTGTTTATTTACAAATGTACACATCAGGAAGGAATGACAGATAATTCATTACCAGCAGAAAGCACAGTGCTACTTCCAGGCTGGCAGAAATTGTGGAACTTCTAGACCAGAGATTATTTTTGCCTAGCATAGGTAGTCAAAATAGCTTCTTCAAAAGCTGTCTCTTGCAAAGGAGCTTCAGTGCGGACACAGCACCATTCTACATAACCAACTGTCTTCATCTTTTCATTGAGGCGATACATACAAGGGACTTATCGCAACACAGTCATACATATTTTTGTGGTGTTATTTAATTAAGGGAAACACCTTTTCATTAGGTTCATTCAGAATGGTGATCCTTATCAGGTCAGCATCATAAAATAAATATTGCAATGGTTTTAAGTTAATCAAATAGGAAAAGTAGTCAGAACAGAGTAACATAAAGAGTAAGAACCTTAATAAATACACGCAATGGAAAGGTCTGTCAACAAAACACTTATTCAGTTTATCGCTCCATCATCATTAGCTTAATATTACCTGATGCCGTGTTTTACTGCCACCTTTCCAGCATCAACATCCTTTTGTAGAAATAATCAGTCAGATCCTGGCTTCTTCAGGCTCCAGCCCCCCCCCCCCCCCATCTACTACTCTCCAAAGTTGCTTTCCTGCCTTTTCTGGAGAGCAGCCAGGGCATTTCATTCCAAGCTGACACCAAGGGGTGAAGGGAGGGCAAAGCTCAGCGTACAGACCCTGACCTCAGATCTGGGAATCCAAAAAAATCCAATGGCCCCTCAGACATTGTGTGGGAGTCATGGGAGTGTTCCCTGAAATGATCTTCTATATTGCTGTAGAGGCATATCTCTTGGGGGGTGGGGGGCAGGGAGCTAATTTACCGGTTCTGTAACTTTGCCAAGCAAAATACCATTTCTCCATTTTTCCAATGGCTGTTTATATATTTCAATCTTAATTTCCAGTTATGATTATGAATAGTATAATACTGCTTTTATATCTTCTTTTGAGGAACCCAAAGTGGCTTACACAGCTCCATTTCAGCCTCTCAACAAAAACCCTATTAGGTTGGACTGCGAGTCCACGATTAGCCCAAAGGCACCCTGTAAGTGGGGACTAGAACCCACATCTTCCAGGTCTCCAGTCCAATGTTCTAACCACCACACCACCACACCACACTGGTTCTCACACTAATTGCAAGTATGAAACCAGAAGGTGATGATTATTCCGATTTAATAATTAAAAAAAGATGTTCTCTTAAATATGTGCAACCAATTGTCAAAGCTGAGCTTTCAATTTTTTTAGGAAAATTTATTTTTTAAAGACAGCTTTTGCATCAATATGTGTATTTATAGTTCAGGTAAATGTTAAATAGTGCATAGTGGAGTATCATGACTATATCTGAGTTCTGGTAAAGAGCAAGAACCATAGTCAAGAGCTATTTTTTAAAACTATACATTATTGTGCTTAGATGAATCAATATAAGACAATCTTGTTGCCTGAACAAGAATACCTTTATGCTTACAAAACCTCAATCCCTGACATTTTGGAGTTAACTAAATGCTGGAAATGGATATCAGCCCATTATTTTTAAAAAGGTGCTTTTTGGCAAGGAACAGTTTTAGGGAGTGAAGTATACTTCCGTATTCCACCTTGTAATGCATCCCCAAAAATCCATGCTGGGTTTGGACTACCAAGTGCAACAGGTTGCAATCCAACATATGTAAGGAAATCTCTGGCACTTCAAAGGGAGAGGAGCTCTGGCTCAGTGGTAGAGCACATGCCTGGCATGCAGAAATCCCAGGTTCAATTCCTGGCTTCTCCAGGTAGTGTTGGATATTCTTGGAGAGAGATGCTGCCATTCACTGTTGCCAGTACTGGGATAGACGCACCAACCCAACACAAGGCAACTTCAGGGGTTCCAAAGAATCCAAAGAGGATTTCAGAAAGACTTCTCTCTCCACAAAGGATGTGAGAATGAGATTTATATTTCTAGGATGTCCAGCTAAACCTTTGGGGGGTTTTTGAAGCATGAACACCATGGCCTGCTTGACAACTCCACAGAAACTTCTCAATCTCTCAAAAACTGTCTGGATGGAACATCTCCTTGAGAACTGCCACACAGACCGGGGCAGAACTGTGTCCCTCGAGTGAGTGACTGGAGTGCTGGAAGGCTGGTATTCGCCCTGGCTTGTTAAACAGCTGCCGAAGACGTTGCCGGAACTTGGGGTCCCAAATGCTATAGATGGCCACATTCCAACAGCTGTTGGAAGCAAGGATCCAGAAGGCATAAAAGGAGAACTGGCACCACTGGTAGCCCATCACAGAGCCCACCACAAATACAGCAACAGGGAAGAAGGTGATAGAGAAGACTAGGGTCAGGATGCCAATGGTCTTGGCAGCAGTAATGTCCGAGAAGGAGAGCTGGTTGCCTCCTGGGGGCTCCTCTCCCAGTTGCTTCCGCATCTTGCAGTATCGATGGAGCACAGCAAAGGTGATGACATTGATGGCAATGGTGCCTCCCATGAGGGAGAAATCAAACACCGGGTACAGCAGCATGATATTCCAGTGGGATTTGGGCAGCTTGTTCAGAGGAAAGGCATAGTTGCACATCTTGGTGCAGGGATTGTACTGGAAGGTCATCCCAGGCATGGAGAGCATCGGTAACATCGCCAGGCAGAAACTTATGGCCCAGGAAGCTAGGATGAGCCAAACAGTCCTGCGCTTCGTGATCACTGTTTTCCAGTGCAGGGGCTTCAGCACTGCTATGGTCCTCTCCACCGACAGCAGACTTATAGTGCTGATGGAGACAAAAGTGCAGCCCGCAAAGATAGGGCCAGTGATGAAGCAGGCTGCCCGGTCGGACTGGCCAGTCTCTTCTGTCCCATAGGCCAACCTGCGGCCCTCTCGGTAAGCTGAGTAAGGCACCACAAAGAGTCCCACAGCCAAGTCAGCAAGGGCCAAAGAGGCCTTCAAATAGCCTTGGGATGTTCGGAATTGCCTACCGGAAAGGAAAACCAGGAGACTCACCAGATTCCCAAGAGTGATGGCAGCAATAAGGAGCACCATGAGGAGCAGCCTGCAGCCCACCACAGCCTGGTCCCAGTCTGTGCAGTTGGAGCTTTGGCGGCTGCCGTTCCCCAACATTGACTTTCTTCCTCAAGGCAAACAGAGAGCAGCAGAACGCCAGGCTAGGGAGCATCACCCCTGATGTCCCACGGAAGGCACAGCACAGGCGGTGTTCCCATCCTGAACCTCTAGAAACAGCAGCCTCAGAGGTGACAAGATGAGAGTCCATGCCACTCTGGAAACTGCTCAGCAACGGACGATGGGCTCTGCGGATGCAAGCAAGCAGTGGGAAACCCACGCTGGCAAAATCCAAGCTGGAACCGGTTCGTACGGCAAACAGGCTCCCACTCACATGGTATACCGTACTTGGAGACAAACACATGCGCAGGAATCTATATTATATGCTGGTGCAAACACGGACTTGTGCAAAGTACACCTGCAGATACTCTTGTTTTACTTCATTTTATTCAAACTGCAGTCAGCAATACTGGGGTATATCGCCACAGTTTGTAAAAGCTTTGCCTTGATTTGTAGAAAGGTCTCTCTCGCGCGCTGTTTTACCATTCGCCAGCGAGCATTTACTGCGCCAGAGTTATTCCAGCCGGCTTTCTATGAGGGCATTCCAGGAGACCTTGCAGCAGGGCGCTCCGGCTGCAGGCTGTTTCCCCACCGCTTGCCGCTCGCCCCTCTCGGGCTGGCGTTGCCGTCCGCGTGGCCACTGCCAACGACATCGCTAGCGGCCAAGGAAAGCGTGAATCCTAAGCCGTGCGCCCAAGCCTCGGGGACCCGTGCGCTCTGGCATCGCTCAGAGGGAAAGGTCCGTCAGAAGCCACTGCGCCCCCCGCAAACCAAGCTCGCACCCTCGCGGCTCTTCATACCCCGTGCCAGGATTGCGATCCCCTCCGAAGCGGCCCCGATCCTCTTCTGCCCGCACGCCCTGCTCCGTCTCGGAAGCCTTGCGGGGCTAAGCGGAGCTCCGGGCTGGTTTCCGGCTCTCCGGGCAGTCTAGCTCCTCTCCTCGCGGTCGCCCTGAGGCAAGGAAATGAGACCTCCGACGGACAAGGAGACGTTGCCTGGCTTCGTGCAAGCAGCTGCTCATTCTTGGGGCACAGCCCCGATTTCCGGCGCAGATGCGAGCGCACTTCCATCCCCACCCAGGGTCCATCCTGGCGGTGTTTGCAAACAGCCAACCACGTGCCTCCGGCTACCTCTCGGCTTCAGGCAACGCACCCTTCCGGCTGCCCAGCCTAAACCAATCCATTCCTCCCGCAAGTTTCTAGCTCCGCTTGCGGCCGCCGCGCTCCGCGATGCTTTTCTAGGGACTCGCTTGCGGCTTTCCAGTCGAAACGCGGGCGCTCGCTGCGCAGCGAGGGCGAAGTCTGGGTTGTCCAAAGTGGTCGGGCCACGTTGGGCTATGCAGAGCTGCCCGGGTGGTAGCGGCACCCTGAAGGAGAGAAGGGCTGTGGCTCTCGGGCAGGCATCCGTCTTGCAATCAGCCCCCCGCAACTCAACATTCGCTGCTCACTGCCCTTAGGGTCAGACCGTGGAGTCAAACCCGCGGTCCACGCAGCTCAGGATTGTCTACTCAACTCCATCCGCAAGCGTCCTCTTTAAGCCTGTAGCCCAATTCAATCTCAGGTTCTGGGGGTGGGTGCATGCCAACAGTGAGTGGGGTGCAAGGCAGCCAGGAGACAGGACCCCAAAGAGCCCAGAGTTCAGCTTAAAGCCCCTCTGCTGATAACTGAGGGCTGAGGCACATTCATTTATCTCAGAACTATGTGGTCCACACGAAGGCTTTGCTGCATAGACTGAGTTTCTTCTGAATGTCTTTGCTGTGCTTCAGTAGCCAACATTTATTTGCAACATGATCTCAAGTTCCTTTTCCTTTTCAGACTCTGGCTTGACTGTCAGGCATTTCTTGCTGCCAGTCACAATGTATGGGGTGTGAAAGTTGGATTGTGAAGAAAGTTGATAGGAAGAACATTGATGCATTTGAAACTTGGTGCTGGGGGAGAGTTTTGCAATTGCCCTGGACTGCAGAAAGACAAGTGGGTCTTGAAATCAGAAGCAAAAATGACAAAACTGAGGCTGTAAACTTCAGACGCATCATGAAAAGGCAACACTCACTGGAGAAGACACTCATGTTAGGGAAAATGAAATCCAGAAGACAAAAGGGAAGATTAGATATGCAATGGATTGAATCCATAAATCTACCCAGCTTGGAAGAACTGAATGGTGCTATCATAGATAATTTGGAGGGCTTTCATTCACAGGGTCACCATCAGCTGGAGACAATTTGTTGGCACATAACAGCAACAGCAAATATTTTAAATAAACAGATTGTTGGCTTCATAGAATCCTCCAAGTTATTCTCCTGCTTCATTTCTGATCCCTAGGCCAATTTTCTTCCACAACATTGGATTCTGTTTTCTTTCCTAATTTAGTGTTCCAGGCACATATGTCTTGTTTTGGTGGGTTATCACTTTCCTCTTAAATCCATGTTTAAATGTTTTTGATTTCTTCTTTGGTATCTGTTGTTGGAGCATAGAATTGAATTATGGTTATATTGATAGGTTTTCTGGAAATTCTGATGGATTTAGTTTAGTTGGACTTTGCATTGTAGCCCCTTACTGCCTGTAATACAGCCTCAGTTTGCCATTTCCAGAATAAAACACTTAGTCTTTGTCTGACTGAAAATAATTTAGTGTTTGTCTGATCTGCTCACTGCTCCTATCATCACTACTTCTCCTGCCCACCACTTCTGCTCAACTTTGTAGCAAGGAAATAGGAAGACCAGAGATCTGTCTGCCAGTTTCTTGCAGAGATGAGCAACAGTGACAGCAAACCTGCAGTGGAGGGAAGGGTCTGGCCGGGAAAAGTGGAGGAGTTTAGTGGGTACACTTAGGGCTCTTGACAGGTGCTGGTGCATCCACGGGCATTCTGTTGCCAGTCCCTGCTTGAGAGCAAAATTCTACTTAGGGACCCTGTTAGTTATTTGTTTAATGTGCAGTGTGCAACTCCTGGCATATATTTTGTTATTTTCATTATGACAGCCAACATTTACTGAGAAGAGTGCTGGGGAGCATATTCATTTTGGCTCCAGACTGGATCCTAAACAAGCAGAGCCTTAATTCTACTAGAGGAACAATGTCCAAAGACTGCATATATCCACTTTCTACTACTGTGGCAGATGTTCAATGCCCTGGATGGTTAAATTGGTTCTTCAGTCAACCCATAGATTAACCAGAATAATAATAGAATAACAACAGGCAGTGTACACTAAAGCCAAAAGATCTGATTGTTTACCACAACTTTCAAGCAGCAGAAGTTGCTTCAGGAAAAGAGTAGATCTTGTCCTCATTATGCCTCTCACCAAGCATACCTTCCATCTCCTGACTAAATTTAGTTACAAGTTGACTAAAATGTGTTAATAGTCTCAGAATCCTTCATCAATAGTCTTTCATACTGAGCATTTGTTAATCCTTCTGAAGGACAAATTTGAACCAAAGTGTGAGTCACACAAGTTGGACAGAAACAGCACAAACTTCAGGCTAACTGACCAAGATAAAATAGTATTTAAACCACAATGCCTTGCATTGTTTCAATGTGTCATATTTTCCCCCTGTACCTATGCTGGACTAGCATGAATAACCCAATAGTGGGTCAGTCTGAAATGATTTTGTTTCTCTTATTAATTACATGCAATTGTATTTCCAGAATGGCTACAGAATTATAAAAGAGGTAAAAAAAAACAAACCTGTCCACAGGATTAAGTCAGATCTAAAAAGCTAATTAGGTGCCAAGTTAACTTCTCTGAAGAGAGCATTCCACAACTGGGAAGCTCCACTGAGCACCTCAGATGGCAGGGCATAGTCCATGGTCATTAGCAGCATCCAGCAGGCATTCTGGCCCTTAGCATTCTTCTGTGCTAAACCAGCTGCGATCCAACATTGCTTGAAGGGAAAACCACACCAATATGCACCTCTGAGTTTGTCTTGGCCTCTTACAAGAGCAAAGTTATCTGGCCTAGTCCTTGACGCTTGCTGACACTTTGCCTTTCATTCAGGTTTTATTGCGTGTATGGCTACTTACAAGGACAATCACATAAAATAGTGTTTTAAAGATACAAGGACAGAGCTTAGGGGAATGTCCACTCCCAGAAACAGACCATCATAAATTTGGTATGACTACACATTTCCAACATTTAAATTGGACGGGTGAAATTTCCAGCAAATAAATATGGCATGAGAATGCTATTTAAACAGTGTAGCTTTGGCATACAGTTGAATGGGGAACGCCAGATACGTTCTCTCCCTGTGTACCCTGCACAGAATTATTGACAGTGAACTCATTTGCAATTGCAGATCCAGGTTCAAGAGGGGCTTATCCACCAGTTTGAGAATCTGCAGAAATACCCAAATGCTGAAGTTTGGGGGATGAAAAACCAGGAAGGAGAGGGAATAGAAAGGAGCATCCTGAGAAAGGGATGCTAAACAGCAACACTCTCATTCTAGAATTGCACTACAGAGTCTAGTCTATTTACTGTTTTTTTAGACATTCCATACAAGAAGTTCCCCCAGAAAACTATTCTGTGCTAGGAATCCACAAGGATGGCCTGCAGAAGCAGCCAATTAATTCTGGCTATCTGGACATAAGTGTGTTGTCTAGACATTTTCCTGAACATAGGCCTAAATACATTTTTTTACAAAGGGACAAGGGATAGCTTCCCTGAATTCAGTGTGGTTTGGCAAAGGAGGTGAAATCTTGAAATAAAGTATTCTGAAAGGAGGAAAGTGCTTCATTATCTTCCATGTATTTCAAACATTTTTGCTCTTCTTTGCACACGAAGAGACCTGCCAGTAATCCAGGGCCTCAGTTGGTGTTCAGGGAAGAATATGCACAACCCCCAACTTTTGTCTTTAATGGTGTTTGATATTTTAAAGAAAAGTTGACTGGCATTTCAGCATGAATGGGAGGACGAAGACTGAGAGAGCACACAGACAGACTGATATCAATTTAAGGGCTCTTCCAGCATCCATGCAACTTTTTGCAGAATAATTATGACAAGCTAGAAAATC